TATATTATATATTATATATATATATATATATATATATATATATATATATATATATATAAAATTATTAGTTCAAAATTATGAGAAAAAAAGTACCGCGTGTACCTCACTCTCATATAGCCTGCGATGCGCATGTAAAGTGATGCACGGGCATATGGGACCTACTTTTTTAACACCGGTTCCGAACGGCAAATTTTTGAGGAGATTTCGGGAGCAAGAATATTCTCGTGGTTTGCCAGACCATCGAGAGGAGACACGAGCGTATGAAAATATTTTGAGATCCTACTCGGGAGACTCGAACCCGGAATCTCTAGAGTACTAAGAGTACCAATGTATCGTCTAGTATACCACGCTCGCTCTCGTATATTATTATCATATATTAGAGTAAAATGAAATAATTGCTTATTGAATGAGGGCATAATTATTGCATTTGAATGACTTCAACAGAGTATACATACAATATATGTGAAGATTTAAACATATTAAAATTGTTAGAAAGAAGCTTTGAACAAATTGATTTATTGATTAATCTCGAAATTACTGTAATTGATTTTCAGCGTTCTTTTGTAATTTAAAAAAAAGACTATCATATCTGTGACAATCGTTTGGTTATTGATTTAATTTGTTATCTTATGATGGCATTGATGTTTATGTGTAGGGTTGCCATGTTAAAATTTTCAAAACTAGGACTTACAAGCCAAAAACCCTGGCACATTTCGGTTGCAATCCCGGACAAAAATACGCTTAAATTAATAAAATTGATCAGAACAGTAAGTGAATCATTATTTCACATCTAATTGTTTATTAGCATTCAGAGCAAAGAGAAATTTGAACTGAATACTAAATAAATACAGATTATTTTGATTTAAAAATAAATATAATAAAACTTTTTTAGGTTTAGTTTAAGTTTTTTATCAGATATTAAAATTAAAAAATTTTAACTCTTTTATGTGATATCTGTGCTATTTGGTAATGCAGAGTAATGCGAGAGGAATCAAAACAAAATATTTAAAAGATTTCTTGAAATCTCCGAACGCTTATAATTATCCCGGACGCTTTCAAAAAATCCTCCCGGATGTCCTAAAAAAGAGGACAGTATCCGGGGAAAAGAGGACGGATGGCAATCCTATTCATGTGTTATGTTCTTCTTATAATAAATAATTAAGTTATAATTAAACAAGTGAAGATTTCTTTATAAAATTATAAAGTAAATTATAAAGTCTTTATAAAATTTCTCAACAATTATGTAAATTTATAAAATTATAATAACTTGAATATGATAAATTACTGATTTATTATAACATTACAACAAAGAAATTTTTAAATTTTTTCGTGTATTATAACAAAAAAGTATTAGCTCTGTTATAGGCGCCCTCTGCTCAACATCTATCGACATTTGATGATCGTGTCGGTAAATACAGTTTCCAATTTTCCAATTACCAACTCGATCGATCATAGAATATTAATAAAAAACAATAAATTTCTTTTTGATTCCTGCACTATATTATATTAAAATTTCCTTTTTCTTCGCCAAACAAAATATATGTCTATTTCATTTTAAGTACAACAAGTATACTAGTTCAGCTACAAAATAAATCTAATAAATATGTTCGAGGAATACAACGAATAAATACAATAGATAGAAGACATTTA